CCTATCCCCTGTGTGCCTTGCCTCCCACGACTATATGGTGAATTCTTGTCCATTTTACTAAGAGAAAAGAAAGACAAATACTTTGTAATTGGCTAATTACAACATCTAAATTCCATTAAAAACAAAATCAAAACAACCAGCCAATAGTTTTATGGTAGTCCTTATAAATACCACAAAGAATGAACCAGACACATCCCCTAAGAAAGACTTTGGTGTATGCACCTGTTTGATTGCACTTGTTGCAGTGTCACCATTTTGGAGACCTTTAAGGTGTGGCAGTGTTGGTGAGTATCCATCAACAACATCTGTGAGAGGACTCCAACGAATTGGATCCTGGACAAAGAAAACCCATTCAAACATGTATATGCATAAAAAACCTTTAGGACAAGTAGATGCAACTTAAAGAACAGAAATACTTCAGTTTTGCCTACTGTTCTGAAAAGGTGTAAAAGAGTTGGCGATTAGTAGTTTGGTAATCTCATGGAAGGAAATACAACCTCACCACCTTCCCCGGAATTTGATTTCCCACCCAATCTATTCATGGCAATTGCAATTGCTTCGTGAGTTTCTCTACTAATTGCTCCAAGTGACATCCCACCAGTGCAGAACCGCTGGACAATTGAAGAAGCTGATTCAACCTTCCCGACAGGAATTGGAGGCCGGTCACTCTTGAACTCAAGCAGATCACGGAGAACCTAAATAAAAGAAGGCATGAATTACAGGCTGCCATCACATTAATTATGTTAATGAACAGCAAAAACAAAGAAATTCAAAAAAACTTCTTCCCATAGGAAAAAGAGATCTTAAAAACTTCCTCTCACATTCACAGGTCGGTTGGCAAGATGTTGTTGATAAACTGCAAAAGCACTTTCACTTTTCTGGCGAATAGCTTTATGGAGCAGCTTTGACATCTCAGGGTTGTTACCATGATATTCTCCTTTTAATATGCACATAAGAACAGATTTACAATTACAGTAATTCTTTGTGCATGGATACAAGAAATTGACGAAAGTTTCTAGGATAACTAAACAGTAAAAAATCCTATTGGTACATCCTAAGAATGGTAAAGGAAATTACATTAAGAAAAGAAGTCGATTCAGCAAGGTCAATCAATCTTAATATTGCATAAGTAATAATCCCTTTTCAAAGATTACGCATGAAACCAAGAAACTAACATCAAGTAAATGCTAAGAAATTTCCCATACTGGCAGTTCATAAGTTACTAGCCGCTTTAAATGCAAAGGGCAGTTTACTACTACAAAAGCATTTCTTACTACATTGACAACAAAGAGAAAACCAGGAAAAAAAAAGGAAAAAGGTAATAATGAGAAAATTACACTGAACAAAGAGCAGAACCACTGAGAAAATAAATCTCATCATACTAGTTTTTTCATCATGGACTTTCTTTACTTGAATGCATTTGTCCACTAGTGGTAATGTCTTTGTACTCTGTCTAAGGCAAAGCATGTTGCTCACTCTAATATCGTAAATTTGATGGTCGTGGCGATGTGATTAGAGTTTTGGGGATCATAGGTATCACTATCCACGAAGAGCACTGGATGCTCATGAAGTTGCAATATAATAGGGCCCATCACTTCCCACTTCCTCTCTCTCCCTCTGTAAGAGAGTATAAACCAGGTTACTAAAAGAAGGTTCCACACGTGCAAGAATCTAGTTCATGAATCATGACCATCTCATATTCACTGTAGAGGTCAGTGAGAAGGCACAATATCCTCTTTTCTTCAGGTCGGATTATGTGTGTAGAGGTTCCTTATGAACACTGACAAGGGGATGCACAGATGGCTAAATTCCTCCCACATGCCCCAAAGTGTTCCATAATATTATCGTGTAATGGCAACATCTTTGAGTTGCAATGATCTTTTGATTATGTTCCAGAATTCTTCAGCAGAAGATAGGAAGCCCCAAAGTGTACCATAATATTATCATGTAATGGCAACATATTTGAGTTGCAATGATCTTTTGATTATTTTCCAGGCTTCTTCAGAGTAGATAGGAAGAAAATGCCACTACTACCATGCAGCTCCATGGAGTTTAGAAGCCATAATTATAATGGACTTATTGACATCTCATTTGTAAATTTGGAATTTGAGGCCTTATGGTTATTGAGTTGTCCCAACAAAACTAAACTGTTTATTTTCCCTATAAAAAAACTGAAATCAAGCCCAAGAATTATATTTAGCTAGATCGTGGCTCTTTGCAGACAAGGGCTTGCAAGTTTACCAGGATTTTCCGCTGTCAGCCAACTCATAGGGAGGGCCAGAGTGCCACTAAACAACCTAGGCTGGGTAGAGGTATGGGCTTCTCTACTCATACGAGCTGAGACAGATGTGAAGATATTCCCTCACTCCCCCTTTCTGGTTTCTTTAGTGGGGCTTATTCTTTCATAACAAGCATATGTTTTCACTAAGAGGCAGTAGAATGAATTGTAAATCGTTATTCTGACATAATGGACAAGAAAGAATAAGATCATGCAATATGACCGCATCAGCAAGAGAAGAGATGCATAAACATTAACAATGGAGAATAGTGAGACTTAGTGTTCCAGACACCTTTCCCAATGATCTACAACAGCATCATAAAGATGGTAAGTTCCCTGAAATATAATGTACAAAGGAAAATAATTACATAGAATAAATCCCCCGCCCCCCTCCCCACCCCAAAAACAAAAAACAAGTCTATTAATTGAATCGAGCCTTTCATTGATAAAGGAAAAACTGTTATACTTATTGTTTGCTTTTATTTTAAGCGCTATGGATGTTTTGGCACTTTTTCTTTGACAAGTGGGTTCTAAAAGTCTGTGGCCCATGTATGTAGGAGCTGACCAGGATGGGCCATTTTCACTCCTCAATGGGCAGAAGGAAAAAGGACCCTATGAAGGAAATTTGGTCTGCCTAAATGCAGCGTAAGAAAATAATAAAACTTAACTTCTCTAAAACACTGGAATTCAATGGAATTTACTGAAATCTAAAGGCCGTCATCAGCCTCTTGGGATACTCCTATTTGTGTAAAATTTACCATCAGAAATATGCACACAAGAGCAAGAACCAGGCATTCCCATAATCCCAAACAACATTAAAGAAATTCCAGTGGCAAAACTTGTTGTGAACAAAAAAACTCCGCACATCATCAACTATGATTTATTGGATGTTATCTTAGTTTCCAGGACAATAAAAATCTACTGAAATTCTAGTCCTTTTAACCAACATACTGGATCTTGGAAGATAAAAATCTCCTTCTAGGATGGCATCACCACACATAAAAGTAGCAATTCCTAGTAAGTTGGAGGTGACTCATACTGAAAATTGCTACCTCCAGCACCTCTCTAATGACTCTACCTAGAAGATAATTACCAAGATGATGGAGGTCTATTAAGAAAGAACAACTTAATAGTTACACTACTATTCACCAAACAATTCAAGCTATGTTGAATTTGCTACCTCCTTGACGGAAATTAATAAACCCGAAATTCTCCAGCCTCTTTGCTGTATCCTCCGAAAAAGCCCTGACCCAAAAAGATAGAGTTTCTCTCGCCAACTGCAAATAATGGTAACTATTTACATAAGTACTTGGGTTAATCAAATGATTCCAAATGTTCATGGAATGAAGGTTGCGTGCATTAAAATTGAAATAGCAGACATTCAAAAGAAGCTAAAGCCATTTAAGTATGAATAAATATGACAACTAAGCAATGCAGACCTAATGCTACTGTGAAAGAAAATTTAACTATTGCAAATATAATTAAGGATTTAGAGGAAATCTGGAAATATTCGGCACCACTTTTACAGCTGAGGGAAATAACTTTGACTTTGAATATGGATAATAATGAGAAACTATCAGAACATTTTGGTGGTTCAGGAAAAAGCATACAACTGCTACTCGCAGCTACAGAAGTTAACCATAACTCCTTGGTGTGGAAGTAACAGCTCACCGATGTGAAGCCCTAGAAGTTCTAGAGGCCATAGAGAATCCATGTAACCTTATTATAGTTTCAAGAGATATGATAACTCAAGTTAATATTCTAAAGTTAATACCATAAGGAGATCCTTCCTCCATCTCAAGCTTAATGGAGCGAATGATTCAATGTGTTCGAAAATATTCTAGCTAGGCCATGACTAAAAGAGATCACATAGTTTTTTATTTACCAACTCTTGTGCAGATAATAAACATGTTCGTGATGTCTACATTAAACTACATCACTCAGTTTCTTAATGTTTATTGATACCAGAAAAGTTTATCTTACATCTGATTTTATTGATAGAATGCACATACTATGCTCTTGTGGGAGCAAGATTGTACACTTACTACCCCAGCTAAAAGAGCTACTTGGGAGGATTTTTCTGATATGAAATTTTGGGATCTTCTTAAAAATAACTAGATGATTTAGAAAAAAGAAAATTGGATTTTGGTTCTTCAACAATTAGATTTCACCCCCGAAAAATTGGAGATCTTTGTTCAATCTTTGGAAGTTATTTTATTCAGGCACATAGAAAGTGCGATTTTAAATTTTTTTTTCTTTTCTGAGATCAGTCACAAGCAGAAGAGGTTACATCCCCAAATTTTGGGGTTCTAAAAATATTCCTAGAAAGGGATTTACCTGATAGAGTAATTGAGTAAATGAACAGTATGCTCCCCTGACAGCGTAGAATCTTTTGACTTGTCAATAATGGAATTTTTCAATAACAGCATTAACCGTAGTTAGCAATATGTGTAATGGCATTATATCAGTTATCCAAAAAATCTGTCTTATTTCGGTTTTGTTCCAAAAATGGAGCCCAAAAATTTGGTCAAACAAAACGGAGCACCAGAAAATTCTCGAGTGAAAATACATAATTGGTTCAGATTTGACTGAAAAAGTGGAACTATAAAGATGGGTATATATGTGTATACATATATCTAAGGGGGCCAATGCTTAATTATATTAACTTTCAATGAAGAACTAAGAGTTTCACTTCATATTGTAAGTAATTAACTAATTAACCAACATTAATACCTTGTTGCTATTCATAAGGACATAGCAAACTGACAAAAATAACAACTACGAACAATTTAAGGCACTTCTGAAGATTTTTTTTGTGAACTTCTTTGTTAATGATACAATATAGTAAAATTTCAGTTTCTTAAAAAAACAAATATGAGTTGTTTTTGTGTTATTCTGCAAAACAGTTCTTTTATGCAAAACAGTTCTTTTAAAACTGTTCTAAGAAAATAGGGGTGTTTCTGAAAAACCGTGTTTTGAATCTTGTTTTGATACGCATTAGACAAGCTTAAGATTCAGAGACAAATAGATTGTTGTCAAGATTGATTCTCAGGTAAACTTGCATGGTTTCAAACAGTAAGTCACAATCAGTCATTAACATCTTCGCAGAAACATTAATGTGTCAGAAAATTATGTAAGCCTTCTTGAAAGTAAAATAAACTTTGTTTCACACATAATGGTACTCACTTCATCGAATGTTAGTCCGCCAATACTGGAAACACTTCCAGAAAAAGCAAGATCCACAACTTCCTGTCCAAGTCCATAAATTTCAAATATTTGTGCCCCACAGTAGCTGGTATAAATTGAATGAGAAGAAGTTAGTAGAAAGATCCACACTAGAATATCTTTTCAAAAGAAGACCCCCAACATTTATATTTCATGTAGAACTATGATAAGTTATTGCACTATTCTAAAGTAGCTCACAAGAGAGCTATCATAATACACAAGAATCTCACAATACATACCTTGAAAGTAGAGAGATACCCATCTTAGAAAGTATCTTTAGCAGGCCTGACTTCACAGCCTGCAATGTCTCAGGAAAAATAGGAATATCAAAACCAGGACATTGGGAGGAATAGCCACTACTCAAATAGTAAATGAAATTTCGTGGTGTAATAGTAACATCTATGCATTGCACGAAACAAAAACAAACATTGACTTATTGAACGAATCCAGTAAGAAAGAAATGAAATGGACAGAGAAGTACAAATTGTTATGGAAGACAATACAAGGTCAGGTGCTTCACATAAGGTGACTTAGTCCAAAGTAACATTGCGGCGTGCCAATACCCATGTATGACTGTCCGATATTTGGGTAACATCGCAGAACTTTCCGAAGACAAATCTAAAAGTGCTAGATTTGGCTGTTTAAATAAGACATAATTTATATATTTTTTCCCATTTTTAATTATTTTATCTTTTAAATTATCTTTTATAACATATTTCTTTTATTAGACAAAGTGACAGTCAGTCTGCAGCTAACCAAGTCAATCTGGTCTAATCTCAGTCCAGCACCCAGTCCAGGTTTTTCAAACTATGCTCCTACTAGGTTCACAGAAGCAATGACAACTTAATCAATTTAAGTGCTTAGTCATGCCAGTCAACGAGTAAAACCAAACAATGAAGAATAAAATGAGGCTGTCGTATTAACAGTTCCTAATGAAGATATAATTGTTTCCTATACTATCAAACAGCTTCACAGGAAAATGGACTTCCTTGCATTAAATTTTCCTTACAAATTTTAGATCAAGTATATGAACAATGTTGCTAAAATACTGGAACATAACTAACTTATTATATACCTTGCAAAAATTATTTTGGGCCTGTTCGATAGTGACAGTAGGCATCTTCCCATTTCTCATCATATTCACAGTCTTTGAGCTCAAACGCCACTGGCGGCAGGTTTCCAAGGCCAAATATGGGCAGACCGCACTAAATAAATAAATACAAAGCTTACATTAATAACTGCATACAATAACAAATAAAAATCCCCTCTATGAATTGTACAATAAAAAACCAAGAAATACACCAAGCAAGAGAATGCATAGTAGGTATGATTAATTGGAATTTAAAAACATGCAAATTGAGTAGAATGAAGACAAACTTCACATCTCCTAGCTTGCATCAAGGGAATCATAGTCACTTCAATAAATTATCATAAGTATCATAATCATGTCCAGAAGAGTAAGATTTTAAGCTTTACATTACGTAATATGCTTGACAAATATAATAAGAAACCGCAAGCTAATGATTCATATTTAACAGGGTAGAGATTAGCATCAATACTGAAAGTCGCCTTACATCACACTCGTCCTTTTTATGAGTTAGCGCCATAATGGAGACAGGGTGAGGGCTCTAAGGTTGAGATTCTTCCCAAGGAGGAGTGGCATCAAGCCTTTCATCAATCTAAACCGTGCAAGTACCACCATATATCTTCCTCCATCTCAAAAGGAATATGAAATTATTTGATTCAAAATCCTTTGCAAAGATTCACAAATGAAACCCCCTGTTACTCCCTGAAAATATAGAGAGAAAAAAAATTCATGTGTGTGCAATATGTCTCAAATCCATGTAGCTGCATGGACTGGCAAGGTTCCTGGCACTTCACCTTAGGGTGAAACCCATGGAATACATAGTGATATTTATATGTAGCATAGGCTAAGAATTTGGGCTTTGTGGAGTCCATGGACCATAATTGTTATGTGCATAAAGATAATGGCCTATGGGCACGACCCATAAAGAATTCATAGCTAGGACCCCATGGGCGCCATAACCAAGCTCCATGATGCAATAAAGCGCAGTGGCCTAGAGCCATGGGATTATCAATGGACCACAGCTGTTGGTAATGATCTTATTAGTTTAAGGCTTGGGCCATGGGATCTTTGCTTCCATGGCCTTTCGTCATCCATAGTTTAAGGCATAAGACCCCCCTAAAAGTAAATTCTACTAACCATGAACCCCTGGGACCCTAAATGCAGGTTAAGAATCAAGAGGGCCTTTGTCCAAAGATATATATGCCACCATGGCAATTACTATGAATGCTGAAGTCATTTTTTCAACCCTACTCCACCCAATTAAATTAAGGTTTGGATCAAACCCTAAACTTATCAGATTACGATATTCCTTATGCAGCTGGGGACATCCCAAAAGCCTATGAGATATTATTTCTATCCCTATAAATTTTGGAAAGCAAATTTCACTTTGTATGGAACTCCAGAATTTAATGAGGTTTTGAATAGAAAACCACATGAAAGAATTCCAGCAGAAAGAGTGGATATGGTACTAAGCACAATAGAACAGCAGTAATGATTTCTATATAATACGATCCTACAACCATACAGAGTATATCATGATCTCTATCCACCCTAAACAAAACTTTATACACAAATCTGATTTGCAAATACTAATAAGATACCAATCCAGATTTTTGTTTCAGCATACAAAGATAGGTTGCACAGCTTTGGAAAGATAAAGATAGTAGATGGGATTTGAACGTTGGACATTGTTGAGGCCCACATGCTAACCACCCAGCCAAGAGTCTGAAACCTTAAAATTTTTATTTAGGGGAAATTAGAGGAATTCATTTTCTTTTGTTATTTTAGGAAGATTTGTCATGTTCCTAAGGAAGAAAACTCTCTAGCCCAGTAGGCTAGTAATTATGGAAATGGGAAGGCAGTTGGCATTGGGGAGTTTTTACCTCAACTTCATTGATTATGATCTTGTTATATATGACATTTTTACTTCATCATCTCAAGGCTCACATGAACCTTTTCTTTAATTTTTCATTCAAAGTTATAGATTGTGTATTTTGGGATAACATGTAAATAGAAGTGTAAATTGCAGATAGATGCCAACTGTCAAGAACAAAAGACCTTCACAAGAAAGCCATATCCACAACTCAAAGATGTTGAACAGAGACTATAGCTAGTACAAGAAGAAATAAATAACTATGCAACATGAAAATTGATTTTCTCGAAGAAAAGAGCACCTAATTTCCATGCCACTAATATATTTTCCAAAATCAACAGTTATATGGAAGTTTTGCACAAATAGACTATATGGAGAACAAGAAAGACAAACATATCAAAATGGTAAAGCATCCGAAGTCACTTTGCATAGAAAGCACACTGAGTGCTTCTTGAATCAACAAGTTTCAAAAGAAAAAAAAAAAGTTTCCTCAAATAATACAAGTTATGAGAATTAAGAAGAAAGATCACACTCCAGAAGAAAATGTGTAACGCATAAGAGACAAAATGACAAAGCTGCATATTAAGATAAGAATCATATACAGAACAAGCAAATGAAAAGATGAAACCATCAAGAAGAAATTAATGTAACCTGGCACCATATCCAATTAGACAAGCAAACTGATGGGTACTGAAGCACTGAGCAGTATCAGCAATTATAGAAGCTGACATACGTAAACCATTCTGAATCAAATGCTGATGAACAGCCCCAACTGCTAGAAGGATTGGGATTGTGGGTCGTGTTGGCTCCTGGCAAGAAATGTAAGACAAATGAATGATCTGATATGAGTGACCTCGAGCTTTTCTCAGCAGGGTAAAACATGAGACCTAACCCAAAACCACCCCCAGCCCCCCACCCCATAATAAAAAAGAGGAGGGGAGAAAAAAGGCAGGCAGCACAAGAACAACAAACACTGCTACTAAAATCACAAAGTAGGAAATATAGCTAGCCTGAAGAACAAGAAACAATGCTAACAAAATCACAGACGAGAAAATCTTGCACACCAGTTCATCAGAGCGATCAGAGAGAATAAGCAACTGGGAACCCCCACGCACAGCATCATCAGCTGCATCGCAAATCCTTACAAGCATTTTCTCCAAGGATCCATCAAGTCCTTTCCCAATATCAAAAAATATAGGCAACACTCGAGGCTTCAATTTTGAGTCTTTTGTAAGTGAATCTAGCTCCCCCTCATTCAGTACAGGACTTGACAGGATAACCTTCAACATCACAACATTTACTATATGAAAAAGCAAATGAACATGATACAAAAAATCTTTCAACAGAATAGTCCTTATGCTAATTTTTTGCAATAATAATGAGCAGAAGTGAATCAACACAAGAAAAATATCCTTTAACATATTAATGCTTCTGCTAACTTTTTACAATCAGTGTTTCAAAACGCGGACCGCCCAACGCCTAGGCAGCCAAACTAGGCTGCAGTCCTTGGGTGGCCGCCTAGGCGGTAAGGCACCCACCTAGGCGGCCGCCCAAGGGAAGAAATAAATTTTCCATTAAGGGTTCTATTGGAGTTTTTTGGGAAAAAAAAAGCTTTTAAGGGTGGGTTTTAAGTTTATTTGAAACCCAAACCACATGAACCTATTTTAGAGAGAAAAACCTCAAAAAAACTAGATTTTGTTGTTTTTATTGGATCAAAGTGTTTCTCAAAGTTACGGGAAATGGATCCAAACATCACCAAGGTAGATTAGATTTAGTTTTGGAGCGTTTTTAATCCTATTAGAGGGTATTTTTTAATACTTGAGCACCAAAAAACATCTCAGAGGTGGATGTTTGGAGTTCGAGCAATCAAAATAAGTGCAAAACCATATTTTTTTTGAATTGCTTGTTTTATTTTGAGATGTCTTCTTCAGGATCTAGTCGAAGTGGAGATCCGGGTTGGAAATATAGATATAACCCGAATCCGAATGACAAAATTTGTATAAGATGGAATTATTGTGAAAAAGATACAAAAAGGGGCATAAACCGGTTTAAGAAACATCTTTTGCCGGTATTAAGGGGGATGTTGCCCCTTATAAAAATGTTTCAGAAGCTATCTGAGAGGAGATTAAGCAATATATGAGTTCTATAAAACAAAAACACGAACAAAATCCTTGTCATTTGAATAGGTCTATTTCTGGTTCTGCTAGAAGAAGTGATCCGAGTTGGAAGTATGGTCATAAATCGAAACCAAACAATAAAAATTGTATAAGGTTTAATTTTTGTGAAAACAATACCAATGGGGGTATTAACTGATTCAAAAAACATCTTTTCGGTATTAAAGGAAATGTTGCTTCTTGTAAAAAGGTTCCTGAAGCTATTCGCGAAGAGATTAGACAATTTTTTCGAATTTAGTAGAACTAGAAAACGGTGAAAATGAGCCTTGTTCTATGGAAACATCTTCTCCAAGTTCTTCTAGAAGTAGTGATTCAGGTTGGAAGTATGGTTATAACCCGATTCCGAATGACAAAAAATGTATTAAATGTAAATATTGTCGAAACGATACTAATGGAGGTATTTACCGGTTCAAAAAACACCTTGTCAGTATTAAGGAGGATGTTGCCCCGTGTAAAAATGTTCTGGAGACTACCAGGGAGGAGATTATACAATATTTAAGTTCAGGGAAGCACAAAAAGATAGAAAAGAGTAGAGCAGCCAAGACTCCTAGGGTCTCATCTACACATAATAAAAGAGAGGTAGAAGAAGAGGAGGAAGAGGCAGATTCAGAAGAAACAGAGGAGGTCGAGCGTTATATTGAAGAGGGAGATGATTCTGATGATGATGATGGCCTTGAATCTGATGCATATGATGAGGCTTATCCAACTCCTTCTGATGATGATGAGGACTGAAGAATGAAGAGTTGAAGACGCTTGACTCTTGGTGTTGACTGTTCAGTGTTGACTATTGTGTCCTAGTCTCCAATATTGCATATTTTTTTAATTTCTGTATATTTTATTTTTCTTATTTTTAGTTTCTAGTTTCTACCATCTAACTTTTGTTTTGTGTGAATAGAATCAGACTATCAATGTATGCTTGTATGGTTTTAGCATTGTAGTAAAAATATGGATTATGGTCTTATATACTATCAAAATTTTCTTCTCAACTTCTCCTCATTCATGGAAATATCAAATATGGATTATGGATAGAATATCAAAATTTTAATATTTGTGATTAGAATATCAAAGTTCTCCTCATTTATGGTTAGAATATCAAAATTATAACTTTTTTCTTTCTACTGAGCTGCCCAGGTTCTGGGCGCCCGCCTAGGCGCTAGGTAGCTTGGACCCCCACGGCCACCTAGTGCTTTTTGAAACACTGTTTATAATTAATCTTTACATATATTTTAATGCTTACCTGTGCAGCATTATCAGGTCCAACCTCTAAAATATTTCCACGCTTGCCCAGGTTGACCTCAAGAGACATGACCAGTCCCTCTCTTAGGGGATCAATTGCTGGATTGGTGACCTGCAACAAAATCATCACATGTAGGATGTTTGTTAGTCAAAAGATTATTTCACATTATTAAAGCGCTTCCCTCCACTGGGAAGTAGCCCTAGAAGACAAATGGCAAGAAAGATATTTTTTATCATAAATTGAATGACAATACAGGTGATAAACAGAAAACAACCTGTTGTGGCACTTTAACAAGAACAGTTTACCTTTACCTTTTATATAAATGACAAATTCTTCTCTTAAGGGCCTTATAATCTTCTGTTTCACTTATTAATTTGCATCCATTTTCATCCTTTATAAATAATGTGCAAGAACTTTCTTGCCATGCATAATTCAAACACATTACAAAATACTGGCATGGAACTTTGCAGTTAAATGAAAAACAAACAACAACAACAGATTATACATGCATACAAATATAAGTAACAATAATTTGAATAAAAAATTGTTAATCATAACAATATAAGAAGGTAGGAATCATGGTAGTAGTTGTTTCTAGTCCAGTAACTAACATTATCAGCAGAAACTAGAATACCTGTGCAAATCGTTGCTTGAAATAGTCATAGATCATATGAGATTTACGAGAAAGTGCAGCCAAAGGAATATCATCACCCATACAAAATGTGGGCTCCTTGCCTTGTGATGCCATGGTTTCTATAATCATTTGAACATCCTCAAGGGAGTAACCATAAGCCCTAATCCATCCAAAAGATAGTGATAATATCAAAGTATGAATTGCATACTAAGAAAGTCACAGATAAAAGGTTCATTCATGATGAATCAGTGCAACAAATGAGCCATGAGAACAATCCAGGTGTGGCAGATTCTGAAAAAAAAAAAAGAAAAGGAAAACCAAACCAAAAAAAAAACTTCACAGCATCAGAATGTATATCCAACATATTTCATCCAATAAGCGGGATTTATGTAGCAAGGGCAGCTCACTAAGAAGAACAAAACCTAAATGAAACTTTACTCATAAAAGTAAGCCCTAGTGAAACATGAACACAAATAACGAGAGGCTTAAACAGTTCAGAATAACAAATAAAATTGTGCGACAATTACGAAAACGACAACTGGAAAGGACTTCCACAAAAAGAAATCCTTCAGCATACAAAGTTCTAAAGAAGGTTAAAAAGATAGATCAATTGATTTAATCATTTTGAGAAGACAATGCTGATGAGGTAGTGAGTAGGATACGTCTAGCATTTATTGGGATAGTTTAATAGATTCCAATCAGGTCAGAATAAGTACTTGGTCTTTGGTTTTAGGAAATTCATTTTAGAAGTGGGATATCTATGTATATTAGGTTTTAGGGTTTTCGTTTTTAGAGTAACTTAGGAAACAAGAATATTTAGAGTTTGGAATTTCCAATGAGCCTCTAAGTTGGCTTTCATGTCTCTAGGCTCTTTATAATCTTATAACCTTATTGGAGAATGTTACCTTTGTATTGAAGAAATACAAATAGTACAAAATTGCAGCCTGAAAGTTCGGGAGCTATATACATAAAAAATTGGCTCCTCTCAAGGGAGCACTGTACAAAAAAGCCCTGAGGAGGTAGGAAAGGAAGAATGAAGAAATAGAAGAGAGAGCAATCCTCTTGAGCAGGGAATGGATTGAGTCTACAAAAAATCACTCAGTAACTAGTAATGTAGCATCTTCCTTTGCAAGAGAGTCAGCATCAGAGTTGCTTTCACGCCATACATGTCTCCAAGAGAAATTTCTTCAAAAATATGCACAAGAGGCCACGGTTGTTGACCAAGCCAGAAGCCCAGTGTAATACATTTTTTGAGTCACCTTCTATTATCAGGGCTGAGGACAAATTGCGGTAAAAGAGTCTAAGGCCTTCGTGGAGAGTTAAGGCCTCCTCGAAGGCCTTAGCTCTCCTAGATGTCACTAACATGTTTGGAATATGATGCGAGGATTGTGCCTTTGAGGTTCCTGAATAGACCACCAATGCCAGTAGGTCTAGGGTTGCCTAGGGAGCAATCGTCGAAGTTAAGCTTAATGGACTCATAGTCAAGTGGTCTCTGCAAAGAGGCGTGAGGGACGCGAGGATTGCTAAGTTAAAGTAGGGGCATCCAGTCACAGTGGAAAGCCGAAAAGTGGATACCTTTGAAAAGCTTATGGTTGGAGGCCCAAAAGATGGCCGAGCTTTTTATCTTGTCAAAGACAGCAGCTGTGGTAGTATACTGTCCTCAGAAAATTCTGTGGTTTCGCTCATTCCACACTGTCCATCAAAGTTCAAACATGGAAGCCTTCGAAAGGAGGATGCCTGGTTTGGGTCAGGGGTAAGGCTGGAGGGAAGAGAAGACGAGAGGGATAGTTTGGGGGTTACCCATGGCCGTTTGAACAGGCGAAGGAGGTATCCTCAAAGGAGATGTGCGCAATGGATGAATAAATGTTCATTGGCTTCCTCAGCATCCATACACATGATACAGCGTTTAGGTATGGGTAAGCCTCTCCTTTGTAGCTGGTCGACTATGAGGATCCATTGGTGAAGTGCGATTGAAAACTTGAATCTTGGGAGGGACAAGAGAGAATCATGCCTCTGCGGTAACTGAAATAGGAGCCAAGGGGAAAGTGGGGGCTTGGAGTACTTTGCGGTAGAATGAGGAGACCGAGAAAAGCCCAAAGGGAGATGGACACCAAATAAGCTTACCATCGCTCGTGGGCAGGGGGGGGAGAAGGTGGTTGAAGGAAGGCAGAAGCTTGAGCCCTGGGTATCAAAGACGTTGGCAACCGTGTCCTGTCGACTGAGGGCTAGAAAGTATAAAGAGGGGAATAAGTCTTTGAACAGGGTGTTCACACCCAAAACTTAACTCGAGTGCCTGCCCGGGCTTGGAGACCAAAACTTAACTCGAGCCTTCCAAGTGGCTAATTTACGCTAAAACTTGTCAATTATATGCGCCCAATACTGATAATTTTTTTCCTTTTCCCACGTTTCCATGCATCAGTTGATATGAGTGCCAGTCATCAATCCATTGGCCATAATTCACAATCGCCAGAATGGGAGGAAAAACCACCTGCATTTTTCATGGCATTCGAGAGGACAACCCCTAGGGAGAGGATTCAAGAGTGTTGCAAATGATTAGCAACTGCTGCAATTTGTGATGCATCTAGAGCAGTGAGACCCATCACAAAGTAGTTTTGCAAGTGTCCTGCGATCCAACTCAGGGAAATCTGCAGATCACGTTTTTCATACGCAAAAGTAATGGCCAAATCCTAGACTTAAAGATAGCATAACTCTAGCTCTTAATGAAGGATAAACCATAACATCAAAGCTTCATCAGATTTGAGTGATTCTCAATTGGGTGAATATGATATGGCACTGGGTAGGACACATGTAGAATTCTTTAGGGTGCCTTTTTACACATAGCTGTACTTAAGGTAGAATAGGCATTTCAGGGTATCAGCTTTTTAAGAAAATTATTTTAGTAGATGGGATGAATATATATGATGTTTTATGATTTTTGTCTTTACTGTTGAGGAATATTTTCAGAAAAGGAGAAGATTTAGTATTTGAAGTTCCCTCTTCTCTCACTTGGTTCCCTAGTCCTTACACTCTAATTATATTGCAGAAGATTTCTTTCTCTTTTTCTCTTCTATTTATTTCCGTGTCATAATCAGAGATACATGAACCTCAAATCCAGAACCTTAGTTCCTCAATGTTTGAGTAATAACAGGGGAAAAATCCGCACGTTTCATAAAGATATAATGTATCAAGTCACTTGCTTGAAACATCTAGGACAGCAGAAAGTTTGAAGCATAAATCAATGGGAGCACAAATATATTCTTTGGCTCTCCAAACTCTCAAGATCAGTTTATGAAATATAGAACTCTTTGCAAGCCTTAATAAAGGTATATATTTGTGAAGGGCTCTGAAACTTGCAAAACCATGTTTCTTGTGTCATTCTCAAACTTTGAGTTTCCAATCAAAAAGTGCGTAAAGTAGAAAAGTACATAATGGCTTCAATAAGGATCTACACCATAGTAACTAATCCTGAATGACAAAGGCTAGTAAACATTATCGAAAGTGCAGTAGTAAGTTAGGGTCATAAAGGAAATCTCTTATTCGAAGAGAGTTATGTGTGAATTATTCACTTACACAAGGGCATTTCTTAACAATATATACCAAATATATGTGACTGATCCCAAAGGAGGCTCATGCCACTTTTTCCCTCTTCTATTTCTTTAATGCACCTCTCTCTCATCTCCTTTTCTCTCATGCACTACATCTTGTTCTTCCTCTTTCCCCTCACAGAAATCTAGATTTTCCTTCCTCTTACTACGTCTTTTCATCCTCTTTCCCTTCACAATGATCTAGGTTGTATCCTTCAACTACCATCACCGAATGATTCCATTCAAACAAAACAATAACACTCGTCTTAAATGGCACGTGTTCTAAAAGTAGCATTCAAAGTACAAGACAACCATAAAATATATACAATGGTCTCATGAGTTATCAAAAACACACTTACTGAAAATTCAGAGTGATAATCAAGCAATAACAAAAGCAAACAGCTATGCCATATCCAAGTAGTGTTTCTAAATGGAAACAAATAAAACTGTTCAAGCATTAAAATATATAAGAAGAATACTGAGCCACCCTCAGACTAAAAGGCAATCTATGAGCCATTTTTAATACTTCAAACATGAACCAAGCAGTATTTCTTACTGTTGACGTCTCAGAATTGTTTCATTGTCCAAAAGTGCTGAGGATAGGAAATTCACAGGTTTCAAGGTTCTCATATTTTCTTTTAACCACTTTCCATATGGGTTGGCCAAGGCCACCTGCTTTTTCACTGCAGTATTTTCATATACCTGCAAAACCATTAGTCAATTATAAAGACAACTAGAACAAAAACAAGTAATAACCAAAAATGACTAAGAAATTCAAACCCCATGCTAGAAAAACTCAGAGAAAGAAACCAATGTCTTTATAATCGTATTCCTTATGACTAATACTTTTTTGCAGGACAAAACTATGACATGATAAGAGAAAACAGTAAATTTAGATATAAAAACAAATCAACAACAAAGTAAAATTTATAATTCCACACCTCACCACTCAGTAGATCAGCAGTAATCATCATTCCAGGTCCTAGACGACCTTTCATTATGACCTTAGAGTCATCAACTGGCAGTACTCCCACCTATGACAAAAACATTTTAAATGGTCAAGGTACAAATTTATGTGCCAGTCACATTTCTTTCTTTCTTTTCTTTCAAATCTTTTTGTCTTTTTGAGAATGTGTTAAGTCACATTTCTAAGATTATTATTGAAAGGATTTACTCAAAGGTATCAATCCAAATACCATAGTCAAAGAAAAAGGAGAAAGAAACTCAAAAAACATTAGATGCGATAGAGAGACATCCATCCACAAAAATCAAAGCATGGGAACATTATCAAAGCAGCATGAAATCATCAAATACGACAAACAATGTGATCATGATTCATCAGGCAGTAACAAAAATCAGGGCAATCTTCCCTATACAAAGAACTTTTAGGGAAGATATCCCTTGGAAGTACAAACAGTTATCTCTACCACATAGAAGAGAGGTGTGTGCCCTTTCTTTCTATCAAAAAACCCAAAGAAACTCGTACAAATGTTAACAAAAAACATAGAAGTGGACAAAAAAACTTAGAAGTGGACAAATCTTACATGAGGTAAGAAACCATATTCACTTAAAGGTAATGAGACTAGATTGGATTCAAATGACCCAAGTGAATTGAAAATAAGTTCCCCCAAAGGACTATTTTGAAAAGGTTAGATGCGCACTAAAAAAGAAAAATATTTTGCCTTGCCTTGAAGATGCAGAGGACTTGAATGGGGCATTCGAAGACAAGTGAGCAGTGTTTTAAAATGGGGGATGCGGCCCTGATGCGGTGGGGGGCTGATGCGGCGATGCGGCTCGATGCGGCCCGGATGCGGGTGCATTGCGATGATGCGGTCAATAAATGTAAACAAATTCTAAAAAATCTAAAAAAATAAGTTAATACATAGAAAAAAATATGAAGGTAATATATGTGATAGTAGGTATTTTAGTTTAATGATTAACTTCAAAACTATTAGCTGTCGAAGATTCTGTATCCAGTTATCCACTATCCCCCGATAGAAACTAGAAACTTGAAACCAACTTCATAAAGCTTTCAACAATCAACAACCACAAGCACAAATTTGCACCATAAGCACAAACATAAGCACAACTATCAACAACCATAAGTACAACCATAAGTACAACCATAAGCACAAAATAGTGATATTACAAAATACAAACCAAAAGTCAAACTCAAGAAGAGTTAATAGTTAATAACTTAATACAATCATCCATTTTGAGAGTAACTTTTGAAATTTGAACTTCATGTTTTCAAATATCAATCAGACAAGACATCTCGAGAGTCGTATTGCGCATCATCAATATCATCATCAACGGCCTTCATGTATTCTTCTTCATCGGTCTCCTCTGAGTCAGCTTCCTCCTCGACCTCTAAAGCTAATGTGCGAGTGCGACTAGACCCAACAGCTCCTCTACTCCTTTGTGCTCTAGTGTTAGGTCGATCTTCTTCATTAACCCCTGTTGCTAGCTCGACATCAAGCCATGTCAGATCCTCACCCTCAAACACACGCGCTTGTCTTGGATCCATGGTCCACTCACTTATGGAATCACCATCAGCTTCATATAATTCGTGCGATTTTCATACCTCTCCCTAAACCGCTCGTTCTATCGCATATAAACCAAATCATTCAACTTTTTCTGCTCCAACCTATTTCTCTTTTTTGTATGGAGCTGTGGTAGAAATTTGAAATCAGATAAATTAGATTTTAGATTAGAAGATTGAAATTCAAGAAATAAGGATTAAGGAATAAGGAGTAAAGGACTGACATGCTCAAATACACTCCAATTACGCTCACAACCAGATGAGCTACATGTGAGATTCAACACTCGAATAGCAAGACGTTGTAGATTTGGTGTCTCGCTTCCATATAATGCCCACCATGCAGTTGTATAATATTTTATAATTTAAAATATAGTTAAAAATTAAGGGTATAAAATAAACAATGGAACTATACATAAAGTAAGAGACAAGTAAGATTATTTTTGAGCTTTTAGCCTTTACCTGGATCTGTAGTGTCCCTATTTCGAGTGGCAATATCTCTCTCAAAGTTTCCCAAGGTCAACTTAAACTTAATCAATTCATGGCTCTGGATCTCATCCTGGATATCTTTGTCTGGCACCAACCTCTCCAATACATCTAAGAACCCACCATTTATTACACGATCTGACTCAATGGATGGGTGCTTGTAGTGAAGAGATGGGTTTAGAAAATAACCGACTGAATGGAGGTGCCTGTGAAGCTGGGTATGCCATCTCCTATCAATAATTTCAAGCATAGCCTTATGCATATTTTCATCATCCTTTGAAACATCTTTTATTTCAGTTCTTGCCCTAGTCATTGCCTCATGTATGTAGCCCATGGCGGGCTTCTCATCACCATCAACCAGTCGAAGCACTCTCACTAAAGGGCAAGCCACCTCCAATGCAATAATTATTTGACTCCAAAAAGATGTATTCAAAATAATTTTTCAGCCTTTCTCCCATCCTTATGCTTTGACCATTTGCTTCGACTCCATTGCTATGAAGCAAACATGGTCCTCAAGGCACTTTTTTCCTTGGCTAGGCTTCGAAGAGTGAGAAATGACGTAGTAAATCTAGTGATATCCGGTCTCACTAACTCTCTCTTCTTTGTAAAAGACCTCATCATGCTTAGGACTATGGTATGATTGTAAATAAATCCAACAACAAACATAGCTCTTGAAATCACCCCACTAAATAAAGATGTTGTACCCATTTCCTTAAGCATAAGATTAACACAGTTAGCTGCACAAGGTGTCCAAAACATATGTTTCCTTTTCAAAGTCAAGAAATGCCCAGCTACAGCATAGTTGGCACCATTGTCAGTGATAATTTGAACCACATTTTGCTCCCCAACAAAATCGACAATCTCATCTATCAAGTCAGATAAGTATGTACCATCATGTGACTTGTCTGATGCATCAATAGACTTAACAAAAAAAGTACCTGTTGGGCAGTTAACCAAAAAATTAATGAATGCCCTTGATTTTCCATCGGACCAACCATCACACATAATAGTGGCCCCATATTTCTCCCACCCTTCTCTCTGAGAAATCAAAATTTTATTCACATCAAATACAACATCCTTCAACAAGGGCTCCCTAACCTCATGTAGTGAAGGAGGAATAAGTGTTGGGCCACATTGCCCAATTGCCTGGACCATATATGCAAAACTATCCAGAGTTATAGTATTAAAAGGAATGTCGACCATGTAAATCTACTTTGCAATCTACTTACATACCAACTTCCTTTATTCTTTCTTATATTTATTGTCAATTGTGGTTTGTTTTGTTTTTTTCTTTCTCTCCTGAACCACAATTTCGGGGCTAGGGGTGAAAAAAGAATCCATTGGCCCCTTAGAGAGAGGTGTTCTTGAGGTTGGAGTATGAGTACCCCTTTGCCTCATAGCAACTTCAGACATATCATCATCATCATCATCATCATCATCATCATCATCAACATCATCAAATAATTGCATATCATCAAGTAATTCCTTTCTTTTCTTTTCTTTTTTCTCTTTATCTTTTATCAATCTATCCAAATATTCTCTAATCTCCTTTTTTATATCATCTGTAGCTTGTGGGTATGCTCTTACATTTCCAGAAATTCCGGCTAAATGCTCTTTTTGTCGAAAAATACCACCCATATAAGTATTTCCACAAAGCAAGTATATCACACAATTTCTATCTTTCGGATATTTTAGTTTAGCATATTTCCAAGCCGGATCCTTGTTACTAGAAGATTGGGAAGAAGACATTGCCCCAAAAATAAGTATAACAGTATTATTGTACAAGAAGGAATAAAAAGTTACCGACTCTGTGAAGTAGTGCTCGATTTCTTCACGGTCTCTGAAATCCCCAATTTCTTATCACAAATTCACCTTAACATCCCTAAATCAACAATAAAAGGCATCAAATGAACATCCAAGTATCAAACAACCACCAAATCAAAGATTTGAATGAAAAAAAAATTTTCGCCAAATTTTTTTTTTCCTTCAATTTGATGCAAAAAATGCCACAAAAGTGGCTGAAAATATTTGATTAGGGGGTATAGTAACCCCCCAAACAGTTTCTCTAAACATTGGAACAAAAACAGACCATTTAAATCAAAAAAAATTTCGTGCAAACAGATGCGATCTGATGCTGTCTGATGCGGCGCATATGCAGCCGCATCTGTCAAAAGCGAAAATGCGCCTGAACGGGATGCGGATGCGAGCACGTCCCGCATGATGCGGCCGCATTTTAAAATACTGCAAGTGAGTAAATAGATTATAATGAAGCATAATAGACTTCTGGCAATATATAAATTACGAGGGTGAACTAATATTCCAAGTTCTAGATGAGATAATTTTTTTCGAATAAAGTGAGAAATTCTGGCACACATCAAAGAAATAAATGATTTCAGATCATCAACAATCCATAGATTTACTAACCTCATTAAAGTTATACTGACATTAGTTACAATAATGAGCATTTGTATAAACTGGTCACAAGTAATAAATCAATCAGTTTTAGAATTTTGACCAATCAATTCATCACTTAATTGAATTCTGATATTAGTGAGTATTTCTAGGAAAATGCCATGGAATGTGGTAAATAATCTTGGCTTGTGACTTAAATTTCAAAAGACCAACTAATCAGTTTTAGACCAATTGAAATCATGACTTACTTGAAATTCTGAAATTCATTTTTTACAAAAAATTGAGGACCAATGATAACTAGTCATTGGTTTAATTTCAAGGTCTCAATTTTGATGTGCACAATGGCACTACAAACAATTCAAGATGAGTTTTCTCTGAATAATATATTTTTATGTCAAGAATCATTGACGTGGAGCCCGAATAATTTATGATTACAAATATTGTGACGATGCAGTCCAATGGCAAAGTTCCGCAACATATCCATCAAACTCAATTTTGTGTACAATGTTATCCAAAAGATACAGTATTCATGGATGATGGTCTCCAGTGCCACCCTATTTTGTAGAATGTTATCTGAAATATCATGCCCTTAGGCCTTAATCAATAAAACTGCAAATTGCCCATCCATACTCAAGGACACGTGTTAACTACCTAAGGGAGTGTCATTCTGATGATGACATGATGTAATTCACAAACTTCAAAAGGTATATGTTTCACCTTCTCAACAGACAGACATGATCACATGTTAGCCTTATCACAGCAAGTACAGAGCTTTGATGGGTCAGATTCTAAGGGTACAGAACCCAAATAGGTGCCCACTAAATGGGTACATATCTTTGACAGTTGCAAATGCTGAAAGTCTGCATACACAAATCCAGCAGTTACAGATCATGACAGGTACTGATATCACACTGAATTGTAGCATGTACCAACAGGTAGAAATAGTGAATAAAAACAAATCCAGAGGGCAGAGATCTGGAAGCTATAGATTCAGTAGGCATAGCTTGGCAAGCACAGAAACCCAGAGAGTATAGATCCAGTGTGCATATATCTTTCCTATGCCATAGATCCTGCACCAGTGACACTTGTGAAAGCAAAAAAAAAGGTAAAAATGAGGGGTACAGACTAGCTGGACAAAAACACAAAATTCAGCAAAAGAAACATCAAATCTACCCAAATTTTGAATGGAATATCCCAAACATTGTCATGAACCCTCAAGCTTTAGCTCATTCGATCCAAATCTGTGCAAAACAACAGTCTCAAGATAACATCCATAAACAATTCTGTAGAAATCTAATGGCATTGGCCAAACCAACAACAATATCAAAAAAGTTCCTAAAAACAAGAAATGAAACAAAGAGAAACACTAAAGAGAACCATAATTATAAAATTGATGAATGTGACCCAACCTATGGCGCATTCCTAGGTCTCAGGCAACTATATAATTTCATAGATGGCCTTCGATAACCATTACCTTATTTCCATTTTCAGACTCAACACAAAGATGGCCGCCTTGTTGCGCAACAGTAACCATGCAACTTCCTCGTTGGACTCCACCCTACCAGAGAAATGAACCTTCTGAATGGGTTTTTTTTTTTTTTTGCCCCTTGTTCTACACTCCTGTTACCTTTGGTAGAGAAATCAAGGGACTCAGACATTCATTGCTTCTTTCCAGGATTTGCCCAAACAAAATATCTCCTCCCCGGGGAACTTTGTTGCAAAAAATTAAGACATCTATAAAATGATAACTTTAACTCCAATTCCTCAACAAATATCCATCCATCTACGGTTCTTAATTCCCAGATCTACTCCATTTTCTCTCAACCAGAGCAAAACTGAAGATGCACTCCAATGTTATTGGCCATCATACCAATGACCTAGGAAGCTGCCGTGCCCTATGACCCACACAAGAATTATGCCTACTAGCGTACCTTAACTTGTGTCCTGAAGAACTTAGTTAATTTGTTTATAAAAATAAATACACCATGAATTACTGAACAATTTCTCACCTGAACTCCATAAAACTTTCAAGCCTAATAGGAAATATATTCTTCTGAGTACAAAAAAATCAACCAAGATTACCACAAATGCAACAAACGCGGTGCAATCAACTCTTTTAATGATAGTAATAGGAGAAATGTTAAATGCAATCATAAAAAGAAAAATGAAAAAGCCACAGACTTCTTCCTTTGATTGAAACAATTTAGAACAAACCTCAGATGCTACATAGACAACGTTGTCTGCTGTCCGCCAATACCGAGCCGGGCGAAGGCCATTGCGATCAAGGCAAGCTCCCACTGTCTTTCCATCACTAGGTGAAAGAATAACAATTATTACTGTATAAGAAAAAAAAAGCACATACATTCTTTTGGTAGCAGAAAAATAAAACAATGAAGTTCTGGTCAACATGATAATGGAAACCTACATTTTTCCCTTAGTACCCAGAAACCTCAAATATTATTATAACCAACTTAAGATATTCATTACATCTACCACAAATAATAACTACTATCATTCGCTAGTGCCCTGCTTCAAAATGATAGAATACAATGATAGTATGCAAATCTAAGACATTCTTTTTTTTTCGGATGTTAGAAGATTAAAGTTATTCAAGTTCTAAAATTTTAAAAAATTCTTCAACTAATAAGCAATTTTGCTGGGTATAAATTGATACATTAGAATTAGACGTCATGTTTACCGGATTAATGCTACACAGACTATCATGGAAGAACATTCAATGTCAGCAATCCCATGTCTGAACAGAAAATGCAACATTAGATGGAGAATAAGGCAAGCCATTTATGGAACTTGGGAACTTTTACTTGGAAAGACATGGGCTGCAAATGGTGTTTGAAGGGAGGCGAATGGGGCAGCAGACGTGCTGGCTGCACGTGCTATGAAGAGACGAGGATCAATCCATACATTGAATCGGTGACAAACCTACTGTAAAATAACCACTTAATGCTATTTTAGCACAGATGGTTTCCAAAGTACATGCACCAAAGAAATGAAATTGTGAAACCAAAATATTATAACTTAGGAGCACAGCATCCTACAAACTTCATGGTGACAGGCTCGAGATGCTGGAATCAGCTTCTAATCAAGAACCGTACAAGCACACAATCCAGGCAGATAGCTAACCTACTAAGAAAAACAATCCAAACTAAAAACCAGTTTGATCAATTGGGTCAGACAATTATATGATCCACACAATCCTAAGTCCAAACAAGATCATGAAACCCATTTCATATTATAGTTTTCTCCAATTCTAATGAGTTTTCCATTTTGTTTTCCCCAAAGGAAATGTTAATGAATTTGTGTTAGGTGGATTGGACCAACTAGCAATCCAATAGTCTTCTGCTCACTAAATCCCACTCTGAGTTGTAGTTTAAAACTCAGACCTAAAACTTAGGACTCCGAAATTTAGACTCTACTTGACCACAAGCCAAGACTCATAAATAATAGACCAGACAACACTTAGTTTATCCAATATACGTAAGTATCTGTTTCCTTGTTTAAAGATTTGTTGAATAGCTGACATATTTGGTAACAAGCCAAGTCCCAAGCCAAAAATAAATTTTTCAACTAGGTTCCAAACATGCAGAAATCTTAGGGCTAGTTTGGGTGCCCTGCTATTTTGAGTTTTAACCAAAATATAGCCTACCACCAGAATATAAAAAGCAGAATGCAAAAAAGTCCATCTGGATAGCCCCAGAACCATCAAGCCTAACCACGAAACATGCCCTTCAACGTGTGTGGCATGCAATTAAGTTTGATTCCAGTGCAATTTGGTCAGCAGATTGCAAGCATAGAGGACCCATCGAAATGGTGAAAAAAGTACCCTTACATTATCCAATTGAGAACCAGCTGATACAATGGATGATATTTCTACAGGTTCCCCTTGTTTTCCGGTCCACAAGGGCAGTTAAAAAATTTGTGCTTCGTCAAGGTTTTCTTATGTTTTTCCTACATAAGTTATTTCAACTTTTGAGCTGCAAAGAGATTTGGGAGAATTTGAGAGCTTTGGGAGGTTCTGTCGGTATGTTTGTCAAAGTTTCCTAGAATAATTTTTAAGGTAGTGGATTAGAAAGTCTATTACTTAATTCGTTGAGAGGGAAATTGTAAAGGGGAGTTTCAGGACTAGACTAAGTAATATAGGATAAAGTTTGGTTGGGAGATATGGCTTAGACATCAAGCCCAGGCCACCTTGTACATGGGCAGTCCACCCCTTCAGAGGATTATTGAAGTTTTACTGAAACCTTTCCGAGTTTCTTAAGCCTTTGAGCAGCTGGGATTATTGAAGTTTTACTTAAATCTTTTCAAGTTGTTTAATCCTTTATGAGTTGTTTTAAGTCATTGAACCCCTCTTGTGTCAGAACTCTTCTCTTTCTAATCCTAATGGCATCACATTAGGTGCCAGAAAAGGAATACATCTTAGTCAGTCACTAGACAAGCCAATGTAATTCAAGCTGAGTTCATTCAACCTTGATGAAGATGACTATTCTTTAACAAGGCAAGAAAGTAAGTTCCCACGATAGCCTGAATGGAGCCAAAACAATAAAAAAAAACGCTCCAATTCTTACAGAACAAAGGAAGTTCACACTTAGCATTCCAACAAAGATCCATGAAATTGGGACCTAATACCCAAAAATTATAGCTCCAACCCAAAATCCACATGATCATAATTAGTAATCAATCTTATGGACAACCCAAAAGCTTCCAATAATGCTTCCATAAATTCACAGAGCATGCTCATGAGCATTGTCAACTTCTCTGGAGTCCGGAAGAACACAGCCTACAAGAGCTATCCAACTCCCATTTACCTCTGCCAATAATGAGACTGCATTAGCCTCTCCAAGTCCACAATATCAGAGTGCTATGTATTCTTGATGGAGAAATAATTGTTGGTAGACCTTTTATGGTGTTACATGCTGTAGTATCTAAGCATTATATCCCATGGTATTTTGCCTCTTCCATTTAGCAATATATTCAATTACATTCTTGAAAGAATATTTTAGTAGTGTATGATAGTTTGTATTTGAGAATGTTAACCTTAGTATATGATAGTTTATAGCATTTTCCAAGCTACGAAAATGATTTGATACATCATAAGCAAGATAGACAATCGAATCTTTTCTAATTTCATACCTTTCTAGACCAAAAAAGGCAACTTTTCTATATTTGAGTTAAAACATTACATACCTAAACAAAAGTAATGCAGGTCCATCCCATGCCTCCATCTGCCCTTTGTAGTAATCATAGAAGTCAACCACCTGAGAGAGATGTAAATAAGAAATTGAACTAACCATGCTCTTCATGTCAATAAAATCTACATGCCAAAGTACAATAAATTTCGGGGAGAAAGATACTAAAATCCTCTTCTTTAAATTAAATCTTCATGAAGTTTTGTCATGCACCCTTGTTTGATTGGAACCTATGTTCATGATCCCAAACGAAATCACAAATTTTATACAAGTTAATAAACAACTTACCTCTGGATATTTAATCATCAATGTTGGATGATTCTTATATGCCTCTGGGACTAGAAGCATAAGAGCCTCCTCGGGACTACGACCACTTCTTATTAACAACTAATCACAATTACAAATAGGAAACAAGTAAACATTTTAGAAAGAGTATCAGGGAATCAACTTCAAATGTAAGGTAGAAACGATACAGCTAAAAAGGCCAAAATGTGAATGTGTGAAACAATATTTCATTAACAAATTTGCAATAATTATAAATGTTGCTGACGACTTCAATGAGAACAAAAACCAGTCAAAGATCATTATACTAAATGAAAAATACATAATTTTTAGACTCTAACGAGAGCAAATATGTTTCATAAACAAAACAGAATCCATCAAAATGAAGTCAAAACTATGTAGAGAAGAAAGTGTGAGAAATCCAAGAAACAGAACATAAGCCCCCAAAAACCCATGACAGATATCAAGTAGTAATATCAATTCCTTGTGCATCCTCAACAAACAAAAACCTAAACTGACAAATTTGTTAGACAAATTTGATGCAAAAATTTAGGTAAGTAATCATTTCTGCATAATACTCCTAGCCATCAATACAATGTTCAGATGTAATGATGCTATTTGCCAAGTTCTAGGGAACTACGAATGTATGGACCACTATCAAGTTAGTGGGTAGTTTCTTGACCATTTTTTAACTACTTGGAGATTCCTCAAAGCAAAAATATTTATTACTAGGAGCATATCTGATTATTTAAGTTTGTTTTGTGGGTTCACTATTTTAATCTCCAACCAAATTCAAACGTTTTTGGTTTTTCAGAGCATCTCATAATGGTATCACAGCCTCATGCTCTTGAATTTAGGTTTTCTTTAGTTAAAAAAGGTCTCATGGAGACACCATTTTGAAAGCAACCAAAATGAGCAGGAAATCCTTAAGAAGCCTGAATTGGCTTCACAAACTGCCCATAACATTCACTGAAGTAAAACAGAAAACCATGTGGTGTTCAAGAAGACTGGAGAAATACTGTTTCCACTTGCCCTTGGAATTATGTACCATTGGTTCCTAGAGGATTTTGACAAGGGTATTTGAGACACATTTCTCAGAGTTGAGCAACTAACTTAGTATTTGACCATCAACAGAAGATCTGCTATAGTTGAAGTTGGTTTCAAAATTATTCTGAATGCTAGAATTACGCATCACAGAAAGTGGGGGTACAGTTTTGGGACAAAATTTCTTCTTTGGGTATAGTTTTGGCGACCATTAAAGGTGCATCACCATGAATTGAGGTCCTGGATTTCCAAGACGACCTTGAACATTAGAATTAAGCATGACAGAAAATATATTTGATTTTTGAGAGAAAATCAAAGAATTAAAAGCAATCTGGCAATAGTTCAAAGAAGTTCATGAAGACAGAAAGAGTTCAAAGGAAGATTTCAAAAATCTACTAATAGTTGAATTTTTGGTTTTTTTTTTAATCACAAATAACTCTGTGACATTGAAACTCACTGCAAGAATAGCCTAAAGGGATGTAAACCCTATAAAACATAAGATTGGGAAACTGTATATCTACTGTGCAAGTATTATTCTTGTACTCATTGTCTCCAAATGGCACCTAAAATCATACAGGATTTTGTCAGAGGATACCTTGGAAAGTTTTTCTCGTGGGACAGTAACCTTGAGTCCTGGACTCACAAAACCATATTTTGACTTTGCACCACGAATTCTGCTACTGCTAATAATCCATAATGAAATTTCAAATACTTTTTTTTTTATGATAATGGAAAATTCCTTCAAATTCATGGAACTGAAGATCACACATGGACATAGTAAGGCTCTATAGGGGTGCTTTATTGGGAGTTTTTCACTTTCTCCGATTCACTACTTGTACACGTGTGTTACTACAATCCAATCTCTAATAATCAAGAAATCAGTGGAGACTAGATAAATAGTTAAACATTACCAATAAAAGATATACAATGCCATTGGAATATTGAAGGAAGCTGGAACAACTGCAGAAAAAATTGCAGTAATGTTAAATCCTCCCTTTTGGAGTCCCTGCATCAACTGGACAATCTTGAGGAATCCAGACCCTCTGAACACCACATAAAAGGATCTTAGATCACAATCTAAGATGGAATATCTCTCTATCCTCAAAAAAGAAGAGATATACTGGTACCAGAGATCAAGGATACAATGGTTGAAAGCAGGTGACTTGAACACCGCCTTCTTTCATCGGCTAGTAAACTGTCGTAGGCGTGACAATACTATTTCGATGTTAAAATTCAACAATTGCTACCTGGTCCACCCCGAAGCAATCGAGCAGCCCATTCTCGACTTTTTTCGGATGCTTTACAATGCCCCTTCTATACCAAGACCTAGAATGTCATCCCTAGACTTCTTGACCCTCCCTTCAGACGGGGCTGAGTGGTTAACGGAAGAAGAAATCCTACAAGCTATTGATGCCTTAGCCAAAGATAAAGCCCACGGCCCAGATGGATTCCCAATTGCACCCTTCAAAATCTTCTGGGAAACCTTCCTTTCTGATATCATCGAATACTTTGAGGAATTCTTTCACAGGGGTACTATCCACAAAGCGATGAATGCTACCTTCCTAGCCCTTGTTCCAAAAGTGGAAGGGGCAGAAGAGATTAAGGACTGTCGCCCAATTAGCTTGCTAAACTCCTCTTACAAAATCTTGGCTAAAGTCCTGACTTCAAGACTCCAACAGGTCCTCCCCTCTATCATCTCTCCACCCCAAACTGCCTTCATCCAAGGAAGGCAGATCCTTGACGAGGCACTAGTGGCCCACGAGTGCATCCACTCGAGACATCTATCCAAGCATCCTGGCCTTATCTTCAAAATCGATTGGAAAAAAGCCTATGACTATGTCGAATGGTCGGTTTTGAAGGAAACCATGGCTAGAATGGGGTTTCGGGACAGATGGAGGAAGTGGATGAGGGGTTGTTACTCCCACCCTTATTTCTCTATCCTTATATATGGATCCCCAAAAGGATACTTCCCATCCTCAAGGGGGCTCTGCCAAGGGGACCCTCTCTCCCCATTCCTCTTCACTATAGCAGTTGAAGTCTTCAGTCGCTCGCTCTCCGGTTTTTAGCAGGCGAGTATCCTTTCAGGCTTCAAAAGCTGCTCGCAAGGCCCTATGGTGTCTCATCTGCAGTATGCGGATGACACACTCGTTTTCCTTGATGCCTCAACCCATGAAGCCAATTCCCTAAAGCTCTTCCTCCAGTGCTTTCAGTTGGCTACGGGCTTCAAAGTCAACTTGAAGAAATCTACAACGATGGGAGTTGGCCTGTCTTCTTCCGAAGTTAGAAACATCATACCAGATTGGGAGTGTAAAGTAGAGGACCTTCCCACAACTTACTTTGGCCTTCCCTTGAGATTGGGTAAACCCAAAAAAAGCCTCTGATCTCATATCCTGGATAAGGTAGATAAGAGGCTGGCGGGATGGAAAGGCAGTTATCTTTCTATGGCAGGTCAGTCTACCTTGATCAAAGCTACTTTAGCCAATTCCCTGGTGTACCTCATGTCCCTCTTCCACATGCCTGCTCAGGTGGACAATCGCCTGAAACAACTCATGCGAAACATTTTGTGGTCAAGGCAGGCGAAGACTAAATTCCACTTGGTGGCATGGGAAAAAATATGCTTACCTAAAAAATTTGGAGGTCTAGGGATTCGGATACTTAGGAAACATAATTTGGCATTACTCAGGAAATGGTGGTGGCGTCTTGCTACTCAGCTCAACTCTTTTGGGCTAGAATCCTTCGAACTAAATATAAAATCCCAGAAGGCGCTTGGCTCCCTGATGATAGACGGTGACCGAAAGCGTCAAGAGCCTAGAAATCTATCCTTACCTTTCTCCCGCAGTTCAAAAGATGGGTACGTCTTCAGCAAGGGCGGGCAATAGGGTACTTTTCTGATCTGACCTTTGGCTAGGTCATACCCCTCTGAGCCAAGCTTTCCCAACCCTCTTCTCACTAGCCACAAACAAACACTCCACCGTTGCTGAGGAAATGGTGCTAATAGGGGGCCGAAGAAACTAGAACCCTGCTTTCTGAAGGCACCTCACTGATGAGGAAGCCTTGCACTTCCAAATTCTCTCGGCTGTGCTATACTCAATTTTCATTCCCTTAAATGGGACTAATTCTATGGTGTGGATGCTTACTCCTACTGGCCTCTTCACCATTGCCTCTTTCTATAAGAGCCTCTCTCAAGCCCATACCTTTCCTGGGAGCCCACCATCAGTTGTGGCAAAAATGTGGGTGACTATTGCACCACCCAAGGTTCAAACCTTTAACTGGATTGCTGCATCCAACAAAGCCCTCACGGTGGACCAACTCCAAAAAAGGGGGATCCCCATCCCCGATGCGCCTTATGTCTTTCTGAGGAGGAATCTAACCCCCACATTTTCCTTCTTTGCAATGCCGCACATGATCTGTGGGGTATGGTAATACAACTGTTCGGTATCCAATGGGTCACGCCATCCTCGGTCAGAGCCCTTATCTCTTACGACCAGGACTCCTATTGGCAGAAAGCTGGTAAAACTCTGTGGAAAGCTACTGTAGCAGCTACCATATGAATTATATGGGTTGAAAGGAATAACAGAGTTTTTCAAGGTATCAAACTACCAACCCCAGCTCTCTTTCACAGGATCACTACCTTGGTCTCCTTTTGGGCTTCCAATCATCAGACATTCGCGAGCATTCCAAAGAACTTCTTCCACAGTCAATGGGAGAACATTCTTTACCACCAACCGAGAATGGCTATTGGACATAACAACTGGCAGCCCCCACCTGTTGGCTGCATTAAGTTAAACTTTGACGGTTGTTCAATTGGGAATCCTGGCTCGGCTAGCACTGGAGGAGTTTTTAGAGACAACCATTGGAAAGTCCTCTTAACGTACTTTGAACACCTTGGTAGTGGTGACTCCCAATATGCAGAGGCTATGGCTCTGTAACTGGGGCTGAAAAAGTTTAACCAGTCTTGGGGAGCACGCCTCATTGTGGAAGGAGACTCCCAAAATACAATCTCTTGGGCAATTGGGAAGATCCCCTCCCCCCCCCCCCCCCCCCACTGGCAACTGACCACCATTTTTGATGAAATCTTTCACATTTGTAGGGATATGGACGTCTCTTGGAGGCATATCTGGCAGACGTCCAACGAGTTCGCAGATCTCATGGCGAAGAAAGGAGCTAGAGTGCAAGAGGAAGGTAATGCCAAGTCCCGCTCCTTTTTTGTCACGGACCATAGGCACACTTGGTAGCTTCGACAGTGTCTTCCCTAGTTGTTTTATTTTTTGGTTACCCACTATAAATCATTGTAAACAGGCGACTAATATAAGCCCTTTTTTGTATATGGCTCTCTGATGTATTTTTTACCAAGAGCTACCCATTTGGGGGCTCTCGGTATTCTTATTTTTGTAACCATTACTGGCTTAGTAATACAATGTTAACCTTTCAAAAAAAAAAACATTGCAGTGATGTTCATCAAGAAAAAAGCAAACACGGGCAATCTTGAACTTGATTGCTCCCTCCCTTGTGTCCCCTCCATCCTTCCCTTCCTCTACTCATCCACCCCTCATCCCCCTCCCCAGGGGTCTCCCCCTCTCTTGCCTCCCTCCCTAAGTCTATCTCTACAAACATCCATTATCTTCACCACACATATTTGTGACCCTAGTACCATGCATATGGCAAAAGCACGAAGCATGCAAACAATATCAAACTAGATTTTGTACATGCCAAAAAATCGTCCATAATGAGAGAGAGCCAAAACAGGATTCTTCCCAACAGGACTCCATGGTAGGCAATAAGAGGATTAATGTACAAAAGAGACAATAAGAAACATACTTCAGCGACACTATCAAGATTTGCTGAATCTGAAGCTTTTGGGTTGCCATAGGGACGAATTTCATTTTCACGACCACGCCAAACAGGAGAAGAAATAGATGTCTCACGAGATTGCATCCAATTCAAGTTCCCCTGAAGTAACACAGAACCAATATAACAAACAAGGGCCCATTATCCATTCAGATTAATATCCACGAGAATATATCAATAACCAAAGAAGAAACAACAATATTGACACCTGTATTGTATTGATCTCTCCATTGTGGCCCAGAAACCTCATTGGTTGAGCTAGAGGCCATCTTGGGTTAGTATTTGTACTGTATCTCCTATGGTAGATAGCAAATGGTGATTTGTACATATCACTCTGTAGATCCAAATAAAACTGCCCCAAAACTTCTGACCGGAGCATTCCTTTGTAAACAACTGTTTGATTAGACAAAGAGCAGAAATAAATCTCATCACCCCAGGTTTCTGATTTCACAGCAGTTTCAATCAATTTGCGACAAATGTACAATTCCCTTTCAATATCATCAACATTCTCCTCTTTTGGAATTTTCACAAACACTTGTTGAATGTTAGGCATGGATAGCTTTGCATAGTAACCAACAATATCCATGTTGACTGGCACCGTTCTCCATCCAAGTACCTCAAGCCCTTCTTTCTTGAAAGTGTTCATGACAGCTGCAGAAATAGAGAACTATTAATTTCTCAAAGAATATTTTTTATAAGTAAGAAATGCATGAATTTTTACCTGTTAGGAAGACCTTGTAAGAATATACCAGTAAAAAAAAAATTAACGCATCTGTACAAGTCAATGTATGCTGCAATTATCAGCTAAGAAACTAACATGCGAAATGCATACTTATATGTTCACTAATAACAGGAAATCCAAAATGACATATTAGACAAATAAAATAAATAAACTTTTGGAGGTCCCTGAAAAAGGTATACCTGTCTTGGCTTCATTCGTCGCACTTTCATCCTTCGGAAGAAAAACCATTCCCACTCCAGTATGCAATCTATCTAAAGGGGCAATACCCTGTTTGCCAGCCCAAACATCATATAGATCCCAAGGGATGGACGTCATAACTCCAGCACCATCACCTGAGTCATTATCTGCTCCACAGCCTCCACGATGTTCCATGCAACCAAGGGCTGTGAGAGCATCCTTAATAATCTCATGAGATGATTGCTGCTTCAAGTTGGCAATAAATCCTACCCCACAAGCACCCCGTTCAGATAGAATTTGTTCTAAATTGACCACCTGATCAGCCAAGGACACTGAACTTTAGATATACATGACTATCACACAATACAAAATAAACGCAATTGTTTCGACAATGAATATGAGACTTAAGAGATCAGATATCATTTTGTTTTTTGAATGGTAATTAACAGATCAGATCAGATATAACATGGCAAAACTTCGACCAAAAAAAAGCCAAGCAAACCATACATGGCAATTATTTGCTTATATCATCTAGAATAACAAACCATAGGATCTGAATACAGAACATTATTTTGTCATTAACTATTGTAAACCTAAGAGCTAGATATCAGATGAATCCAATGTCAAGATAGACCAATTCACATCTTTTTGTATCTGGCCTTGGATGAGGTTTTTATTGACATTAAAAAATATCACATTTCTGACACTCAGGATACATGATAACAGAAATGAAGGTTACTGTGTGCAAGAAAAGAAAAGAAAAAACTACAGGAGAAATATTAGTCATAATGTATGGGATCCTAAGCCAGCAATAGATTGAAAGAATTGGGAATTTCAATTTCATTCATAAATATCAGTATACACCAATGTTACAAGAACACAGAATCTGTCATGCCTCCCAAGAAAATGGGGTGTCATACATGACACCTTTGTACATTGCTGAGGTATCAATATGTGTGTCGAAGGGAATAAATCCCAAGGGCTATTACATATTTATATATAAATTAATTAAATACGAAAATTTTAGATATGCATGTCCTGTATAGGGACATGCGCATCACTCTTCTAGGCATGCATATACAAAATTCTGTATACGCATGTTTAAATCACTGGAATGCATTTCTAGAACAATAGAAATATGTGCCCAGTGCCCACAGTCATGGACAAACTATTGATGGCAAACATACAGCCTAGTGCATGTAATATGATAACATTTTGAGATGTTCGTGGTGGTACTTGCCAGAAGTATCAACTGGCCTGTCTGAAATGTTGACACGCATGTTAAGAATGGTATGAAACACACAAAAATGTATGCATTTGCTACAATGGTACCTGCACAATGACTCAAAACGATGGATACTCAAAGTCATATTGCAAAAAAGGTTACCCCAAATCACCCAAGCAGAATATATATGGCATCTATAAATTGTACACGGTCACTGTTAGTCGACAATGGCAACCATGCTCATGATATCTGGCATATGGTACACATTAAGAAGACACAGAAGTCCTTGAGAACATCTGTCCAAAACTTTGAACTAGAGGGTAAAATGACAAAGGAGTTCAGGATTCCGGAGATGCTACTTAAGAGCCACCGCTTGACTCAGGGTAAGAGAATTTGTATACAGACCAAGCTAAGCAACGAACTATGCATCATTCTAACTTTCAAAATACCAAGAAGAGTTAAGCAATATATATTAAAAATAGATCAATACTGAACAAATCTGCTCATCAAGATTTTACCACAACAAATTTCCAATAAATTGTATGAGGATTCTAGCTTAGAGATTCCAGAAAGATAAACACGATCACCTTATTGACTGTAAGAAGCGACGTGCCCCTATGGGTATTTCAGTCAATTTATAATAATGGAATCTAGCAATTCCATTCTCTAATTGTTACAGGGAAGTTTCTGTCCAGTTTTCTACTTTAGACATGTACAGGAAATGAAGCACTATGAGGTATCATTTCACCAAGACATATCTTCCAAAACATAAAAGAGTGATTCAGAGATGTATTATTCTCTCTGTGCAAAGAAGGAGTTCCTGGACCTGATGGCATCCCCCATCACCTTCTTCCGTGACAATTGGGAATTTGTTAAATCGGAACTTATTTATTTGTTACAAGAATGTCATTGGAGATTAAAGATCAATTTGACACTAAACACCAGCTTCACAGTCCAGTACCCAAGCTCGAAGCCTGAAGGAGCTGAAAACTTTAGAGATTTGTTGACAAGAGGCAATTTCCCATTTATGCCTGCCTGCCTGCCTTTATCGCAACTTGGTGAGATGAGCTCCCTCCTCCTGAGGTGACCACCTCCCAAGCATCATGCTTAATAAGAAGGATTTCAGTTGTCCATTATCTAAACAGCTTTCTCTAGCATCTAGGAACAAGACTTTTCTCGATATGCTACCATATCACTGGTGCTAAACGTGTCCAGTACTAACTCATAAAGTTGATGCTCCTTTATGTGTGCATTCCTGCAACAAGTAAAGAGTCATTTCTGGGGATCAAACTGACTCTCATCTCATCATTTTGCTTGTGATTACTTAAAAAAAATCATAATATCCAGCACTAAGGACCTCAGAGAGTCAAAACATTTTCTTTCAGTTCAATACCTAGGGTTTTCCAAGTGGGTTTCAAAATAGAATAACACGGGGCTTTCTTGCAAGGCAAACTCAGTACCCAACTAGTTAACGGACTCATTTAAAGTTTCCACCAATATGAATAACCACTTATCCTGATGCCAAGAACCCAGATGGATATAGTGCTCTCCCAACATAGTTTTCTTTTGATTAGTGATCTCCATTTTATTTTTGGTTTCAATGCATCGTAGTTGAATTGAAACTTAATTTTAGTTTTTGCAATTCTATGCTCAAGTCATTCCGCATGTCCAATAAACAGGCATTCAAATGCAGGCATCAGACGAAGAAAATTATGTAGCATCACATTGTTAATATCCGGATTTTGCATTCTTGCAACTACTATGCAATCCTCTGAAAGGTTCTGATCAAGAGATTCATTTAAAAACAGATATGCGATGAAGATATGAATGCACAAGGCATGGCAGGACTTCAACATCTCCTCTCGTGTAAATTACTCAGCGGGTACCTCTATTTCCCATATACCATGTGCATAATTCAGAATCTTACATAAGAAAACTCACAATGGAAAGCAACACAATACAGAGAACTCTCCATACACAAAACCTTTTAAACTATTCTTTCGCATTTCTGGCCTTCCTTAAACATAATTCAAAATTTATGAAATTAACACCGAGCCACACAATTTCATTGCTTAATTCAAGTCTAAACGACCAAGTTAAACACAGATGCTCATGAATAATGAGTGTCCGGTATCTGAAATATAATTTACAGTTTACACAAGATTCTACCACAGAATATCTTAATAAGATGATTTTATATCTTGATAAGATGATTTTGGACCCTATTATACAAAAATGGACCTCCTCCATAATAAGCGAGTTCTATATGATAAATCGATTTTCTCATGAAAAATTAAAACTTACTAACCTTTGAGTTATCCTGCTTCACCTTACGATCAGATACCTTGGAAGCTCTGGCTTCAGATTCTATATCAAGAACAGCATAGATACCAGACCAATTAGAATGCAAGCGTCTCGATTTTTGTGTCCATTTAACTCCATTTCTTCGTCTCACTCCTCGAATCCTCTTATTAGAGTCACAGCTCAAGCCCAAGTGGTTCCCGAGAAGAAGCACTCTACTCCCAAAAATGGCACAGTTGTTACCAGAATAAGAGGCTAACCTCTCTGGAACCAGTCGAGGAGAGGAAAAAGACGATTGAAGAGCCATTCAAACTCCGAGCTCTTATCAAATTTGGCAGAAAAAAAAAACAAGAAGAAAGCACAGGATTTCAAAGAAGAAAATTGCATAAAAATGCTTGATCAAGATTTCTAGGGTGACCTTCTAGTTTTTTAGGGCTTGCTAAAATGGGATTGGAGTTAGCAGCTTCGAATTTTTTTTATTTTGGAAGGAGAGGCCTCTGCAACTCTTGAGCATCCACTAAACGAGTGCGAAGTAAGCTCACTTCACGCTCAACTTGAGAAATATAAAATAATAATAACGTACATTTGAGAAATATCTCCGGTAAATTGTTTGACTCAGTCTAGCCCGCACGCATTCTGAGCCGTCCAACTTCGTTGGCGATGCAAATTGCATCGTGCCCTTGTAATTTCTATCTTAATTGGACGGTGGAGATGATATATGGACTTGCCGGCATATAAACCATATATTTTTAATCCAAATATTTGTGGGACATTAACAATTTAGCATTCTATACATGTCTTTTAACTTAATTCTAAAACAAATAAATATTTATTTAAAAGTTTCTTGAGAATTTATAATCACATTATAAAAAATGCTTTCAAATCATTCATCTCGATCTTGACTATTATGGATGTAAAAAAAATTATAATTTTAAATCTTAAAAATAATCTAAAAGATTATATAAAGTGTGTATTTTCAAAGATTCATACAAGATTTTTACTAATTTTTAAACTATAAATTTTATAATAGTGGAAATAGATTTTAGAGACATTATAAGGGGTTTTGAAATAGTTTATTTATTATGAATATTCTATAAAATTTTCAAAAATGTAATAAAGACCCGGGTAGTCCATTTCATTGACTCACGGGCTATTGCCGGTGAAGTTCCAAGGTATCAAACGGTAAAGGGCGAGGAAATCGTTGATAGGGATGGTAGTCTCCCAATCCTGGCCCTACACGTAGCGCGATGAGCGGCTTCCCAACTAATCGGAGGCCGTTCCAATGGAGTAGAAGATTCATTTGACCACCCTTAATATTAGTGGAACACCCAAACTCACGTTGTAGCTTACTAGTTATCTAGGTGGCGTGAATTGCCTTGCATATAGCCTCTACAACGTCTCCTTTCCCATGCAAAATTTCCTCGCCGGATTACATGCTCCCGCGGGAGCATTACGCATTTGGTCCCCTTTGGACCTCGGGGCAAAACGCATGGATGTTACTTTCTATTTAGTCCCTCAGGTAAAATTAATTTAGGGAAACGTTCATATAGGACCTTTTCCATCATGTGTAAGAACTCAAAGGATCACCATTAAATTTAGCACTGATTTATAAAAAAGTCAAGTCTCACACCTATAATAATTTTTTTAAAGATCCGTGTCAACTTTAATGATGATCTTTTGGGGTCTTACACATATAGGTGGGAGAGGATCCTGTAGGATAATTAAGACCCCAATTTTGAAGATATAACTTTTTTAAACTATAGATTAATTTCAATAAAAAATTTCTTAGTTGCACTCTATTTCCAATTTTGGATATACAACCTTTTCAAACTATAAATTAATTTCAATAAAAAATTTCTTAATCTATTTCCAATTTTGAAGATACAACCTTTTCAGACTATAGATTAATTTCAATAAAAAATTTCTTAATTGGACTCTATGTAATTGAAAAAAGATAATGTCTCAAGACTTAATAGAGACAGTCCATTTTTTAGAGGGTGATCTAAGTATTAAAAAGACTCCAATTTTTTAATTTTTTAATTTTAATTTTTTTCTTTTGAGAATAATCATCTACTGATTTTTAGGTAGTTCTAAAAAATTCAATTTAAAAAAGTGTTTCTAAGTATGAGTAAATGTAAATTGTGCTCTTATGGGGCAATGGTCTTTTTCTGATTATTTAGAGTTGCCCTGCACGAATCCTGGTATATCATTTTGCTTTATCAAATGTCATATTTTCAATGAGGTCATAAGTACTCGTATTTTTTCTCAGTACTTCTAACCATATCCTTTTGGTCTCACCCCTTGTCATTTTTTAGCATTTCTCCTTAAACCAACTTGTGCCTTTTAACAGGTGTTGTATTGGATGTGCAATATACATCACACCTAAGTCTACTTTTTTTCATCTTATTATTTATTAGAATCACACAAAAATTCTCCCGAATGTATTGATTTCGAACTATATCTATTTTTATCTTGCCACTCATTCATCTCAACATCATCATCTCAACTACAATCATCCTATGGGTATGATGTTTCTTGACCTCCCAATATTCTATCCCCTAAAGCAAAGTTCGTCTTACAACCGTCATATAGAACTTCCCATTTAACTTCATTGGTATGTAGCAATCACATAAAACTCTTGTTAAACATCTCCACTTCTTTCACCTAGCTCTAATTCTATATGTGAAGTCTCATTGATCTCTTTATTTTCATAGATTATCAACCCAATATATTAAAAGTACTTTCTTTTTGGTATTTCTCGCCCATCAATCTTAACTACTTTATCGGCTCTACTCATATAATTAATAGACTTGCATTTCATGTAGTATGTCTTAGTCTGGCTAATTTTAAAACATTAAAGTCTAGAGCTTCCCTCCAAAGTTCTCCCTTTGTGGTGGCATTGCTTCGGATCTCATCGATAAAAACTATGCCATCTGCGAATAACATACACTACAATACCCCATCTTGTAGATGTCAAGTTAAATCATCAATAGTTAAGATAAAGAGGTATGGTCATGAATCCAATTTCAAACTGTCAGGCCTTAGGGTATGTTTGGCAACCCCATGATATCCTAATATTTTAGGATATTGTAGAATCTTAAAAAAAATCGATCTCAAAAGATGTGATAAAGGCTTTTGCCTTGTTTGATTGACCAAAATAGTATTTTTTAATATTAAGATAACCATATTTATCTAATTTTTAGAAAATTCAAGTAAGACTTGAATTTTGTGGGATTTAACTCTCCGTCTTTCAAGTCGAAGATGATGTGCTCCCCTCTTCCCCACGAACCCATATCCTTTCTGGGCTTTTCCTCTGTAAACATCCTCTCCAAAAGTCAAGTTTCACCCTCGTCTCTCGCCTAACCATAACCCTAACTCCCCAAAACTCCTTGAAATCAACCAGCTTTCGAAAACGTATCAGCTATAGAGTTGTATTTTTTATACAATTTTTTTTTTTTTTTTTTAAAGGAAGAAGAAAAGGCCAAAGCCCATATACAGATCATAACGAAACTTAGAATCAGAAAAAATCAAGAAGCCATGAACAAAAGTTTGGAACTACATAGTCTCACAACACACAACAGTCACCAAGGAACCAAAACCCTAAAAAGGCACAAATAAACGCAAACACTAACCCATTTGTAGGCATCTCTCTTCCTGCACATAACATGATCTATGCTCAGCCAAAAGAAACAACTGTTCCGTGCTTTTTTTTCCTCATTTTTTTGATGAGTATTATTCTTTCTTTTTTACTTTTCCCTATTTCTCTTTTCCTTTTTGATATGTAAGACCACCGCTTACATTCAGTGCCACAAAATCCACCATGAAAACTCCCACGATCCTCAAAGCATTAGAAGCACCATCATTCAATAACAAACATGTAAACCAACCCGAAAACATTTAGAGAGGATACGACCAAGAGGAACGTAGCAGTCAAGTGAACAAAGAAAACTAGTGATTTCCTTAAAGGCTTCGGTGGGAAGAAAAATCTAAAACACCCGTGGAAGTCAAACATGTACAAAAAAATTAATATCAAGTTAATATGTAATTCAGATATATAGATTGCATAGGAAATTAATTTTTAGATTAATTCAGATTTTAAAAATTTGAATTTTTAGATTCTGTTTTGTCAAATAGACCCTTAGTGTTTCATAAATTCAAAATCTAATTTTTGTTTTGTAAAAATACTTATCTAGAGATTCTAAAGTGAATTGGCATAGCGACAAAGAAAAATCTACCACAATTCCAAATCCATAAATCCTATTGAGAAGATCGTTTGCCCACCCAAGGGAGTACAAGCACATCGTGCTCCCACGAGACATGCTTAAAACATGAATTGTCTAGATATTTATTATTGGGATCGTATACTAGGAGACCATTTACTTACAAAGAGGTCACAATCACTTTTACCCATTAGATGTTAAATTGGATGGTCTAGGGTATGTCATCAAGGTCGAAGTTTCTTTTTTTAAATTTTAAATCTAGTCAATAACACAATTAAAACTATTTGATTTAAAATATGACAGACAAAAGTGATTGTGACCCTTATACTACCAATAAATAGTCATCTTTATACCACCAATAAATATTCAAACATTATCGACTATTCGTGATCATTAGATCGGCCCAGATTTAATCTCGACCATTAGACTCATTTTTTCTTGTGAGCCCATTGGCTCACAGAAGCATTATATATATATATATATATATATATATAGTAGTGTTGTTTGGTTCGTAGTTGGTTACGTAAGGTAAACGTTAGTACGTAGTCGTACGTAACGTACGGTTAACTAGTAAGTAAATAAGT